GCTTTTTTCTGAAGATTGACTATTCTGAAATATTCTATAAAAAAGAAAACATTGATACTTTGGTCATTATCATTGCATTGTTGAATTTTAAATCCCTTTTTTATTTTATTGCAGTTACAGTAAAGTCAAAAAAACACTGATGCAACCAAAAACAATCACCTGTTCAGTCTGTTTTATGAAAGCTGCCACATGGCCTCAGCAAGAAAACAAAACTAAGGCTGCTTTTACACCTGCCCTGTTTGGTTTGGTTCAATCAAACTCAAGTTTGTTTGCCCCCTAAGTGTGGTTTGTCTGGGCAGATGTGAACACAGCAATCACACTCGGGTACGCACCAAAACAACCGGACCGAGATCTTCTTGAAGAGGTGGTCTCGGTCTGGTTACAAACGAACTCTGGTGCGGTTCATTTGTGATGAGAACGTGTTCCGACCTGGATCTGAACCAACTGCAGTCACATGACACATTGTTTGGGTTAAACATGAGCATGTTACAGTCCTGGAGGATTATTAATGTGCACCTCCTCCTGTACTGCCTTAATATGCACATTCAGCACATCCAATGCATCAAAACATTGTTTTCTAGTTGGAGCCGCGCCTCGTTTTCAAACTGTATGGTTTGACTAAAATGAACAATGACAGCAATATAGTCCATGATGAGCAGCGCTAAAATCAACCTGCGTAGTTGTCCCTCCATTGTGACATTAGAAAGTGTCACATTTATCTTGCAAGTGTACTCTTCTTCAACATTTGGTTTACTTCTACTACTACATAAAGTGTGCTTTTTCAATTGATCCGAACACAAGTGGACAGCTGAGACACATCAGCGTTCACACCTGTGTCTGTCATGTCTGTGTGTCTCCAGCTGAACACCTGATTTTGTTACTTCGTACATCACTTATACTAGTAAGTCAAAGAGCACTGCACACAGTTACTATGGCCACACTCTCACCAGCTGCTCGTTAGGCGAATTAGTGTCTGCTTCTATAGGGTAAAACAATGGACAGTCACACAACACTTGGTCAGCTTTGTCCTCAACTTGTAAAAGGGGCACGTAATAGAACGTTGGTGGGCTGTTACCAAAACAACCACAACTTCATGCGTTGATGATGCAATCCTTACCGGCGGATGCCTTAGGGTGCGTTTTTCAACAGAGAAAAGGGCTGATTAATACATCTCACATGGAAATTATGGATGGAAATTTACTTTATGTAATGTAAAAAAACACAAATTACTTGAACTGAACGCACACAAAAAAACAACCTACAGTACTTGGAGCATATTTTCAGGATTGATGTTGGTGTATTTGTGTACAGCTCACAGAGCCTGACTGTAGTTTGTCTCTGAGGATGATGAAGATGAACGGACCTCTCAGAGGGTGGATTGTATTTCTGTATTAAAATGTGATTCTTTCTGCTCCATGTAGCTGACGATGAGTCGGAGCCAGAAGAGGAGGACAGATCTGGGGAGGACGCCAAGGAGCCCAGGGACTCTGGTTGTTTCGAGAGCTCAGAGAACCTGGAGAGCGGGCGTGAGGAGCCAAAGACGGAGGAGGAGCTCCAGGATGGAGCATCGGAGGAGCAGACGAACCAGGAGGCAGAGAACCACGAGCAGCAAGAGGAGAACCAAACAGAGCAGCTGGACGCTCTGCAGGAGGAGCTGCAGGAGCTGACGGTGGACGAAGGATCTTGAGAAGTGACGGAGGAACACTTCTTTTATTCCTGGTTTCTCAGGGACTCTGTGGATGGAGGCGTTATGCCATTACAAATGTCTCTTCATTATAAAAGAGCGGACTGATAGGAACACAGTGTAACGTTCACATGCTGTACGAACACGATGGTCTCCGTTTTCCACAGTTTGTTTGAACTGTTGAGTGAGCAGCTCACTTTCTCTCCGTCTGCCGTGGCTGAGTGCGCTGTTTGAATAAACGCCATGTGTCATTGTTTCAAACTGAGGATATCATGTGAGGTGTCTGTATATGATGGTACCAATGAAGCATTTAAATGTCGTCTTCTTCTTTACGACCCTGTCCCAAATGTTTTCACGTTGTTCAGTCTGATACAAATATGAATGTAAAATATTTTCTCATACTTGTCATGTAACTTGAATTTGTTACTTTCAGTGCCTTTTATTTGTGTTATGAGTTTCTCTTCTATGATTTATGTCACGTGTCATCATGAGGAAGTTTTGTTGCTGTAAATGTGTCATTTGAATAAAACATAATTCAGAGATGTCGTTGATAATGTTTTCAGTGACCCAACCCTCCAGGGGGTTCTGAGGTTAGTCCTCCCAAAGAGAAGTGTTTAGAAACGTGACAAACGACCTGACCATTTTAAATCATTTTAAACAATAATGCTGAACCAAGAGTTCAAAGTTTTGATGGCTGAGTCGGTTCAGCGGGCCAGCATGTGATTGAGGACAGCAGAGGAAAAGTGCACACATTACAAAGAATATTTTTTCCATCCATGAAACCAGTACCTTTCTACAAGTTTTCCTGTTTCTGAAGAGCTGCAAACAGACATTTTTCAACAGTTTTTGTAACATACTATACTATGACTTTTTTCATGATTTTGGACGACATACTATACTATGACTTTTTTTTTATGATTTTGGACCACATAATATACTATGACCTTTTTTCATGGTTTTGGACCACATACTATACTATGACTTTTTTTTCATGATTTTGGACCACATACAATACTATGACATTTTTCCATGATTTTGGATGACATACTATACTATGACTTTTTTCATGATTTGTAACGACATACTATACTATGACTTTTTTTTCACGATTTTGGACCACATACAATACTATGACATTTTTTCATGGTTTTGGACGACATACAATACTATGACTTTTTTTTCATGGTTTTGGACCACATACTATACTATGACATTTTTCCATGATTTTGGACGACATACTATACTATGACTTTTTTTTCACGATTTTGGACCACATACAATACTATGACATTTTTTCATGGTTTTGGACCACATACAATACTATGACTTTTTTTTCATGGTTTTGGACCACATACTATACTATGACATTTTTCCATGATTTTGGACGACATACTATACTATGACTTTTTTTTCACGATTTTGGACCACATACAATACTATGACATTTTTTCATGGTTTTGGACCACATACAATACTATGACTTTTTTTTCATGGTTTTGGACCACATACTATACTATGACATTTTTCCATGATTTTGGACGACATACTATACTATGACTTTTTTTTCACGATTTTGGACCACATACAATACTATGACATTTTTTCATGGTTTTGGACCACATACAAAACTATGACATTTTTCCATGATTTTGGACGACATACTATCTACTATGACTTTTTTCATGATTTGTAACGACATACTATACTATGACTTTTTTTTCACGATTTTGGACCACATACTATACTATGACATTTTTTCATGGTTTTGGACGACATACAATACTATGACTTTTTTTTCATGGTTTTGGACGACATACTATACTATGACTTTTTTTTCATGATTTGTAACGACATACTATACTATGACTTTTTTTTCACGATTTTGGACCACATACTATACTATGACATTTTTTCATGGTTTTGGACGACATACAATACTATGACTTTTTTTTCATGGTTTTGGACGACATACTATACTATGACTTTTTTTTCATGATTTTGGACCACATACTATACTATGACATTTTTTCATGGTTTTGGACGACATACAATACTATGACTTTTTTTTCATGGTTTTGGACCACATACTATACTATGACTTTTTTTTCATGATTTTGGACCACATACAATACTATGACATTTTTTCATGGTTTTGGACGACATACTATACTATGACTTTTTTTTCATGATTTTGGACCACATACAATACTATGACATTTTTTCATGGTTTTGGACGACATACAATACTATGACTTTTTTTTCATGATTTTGGACCACATACAATACTATGACATTTTTTCATGGTTTTGGACGACATACAATACTATGACTTTTTTTTCATGATTTTGGACCACATACAATACTATGACATTTTTTCATGGTTTTGGACGACATACTATACTATGACTTTTTTTTCATGATTTTGGACCACATACAATACTATGACATTTTTTCATGGTTTTGGACGACATACAATACTATGACTTTTTTTTCATGATTTTGGACCACATACAATACTATGACATTTTTTCATGGTTTTGGACGACATACAATACTATGACTTTTTTTTCATGGTTTTGGACCACATACAATACTATGACTTTTTTTTCACGATTTTGGACCACATACAATACTATGACATTTTTTCATGGTTTTGGACCACATACAATACTATGACTTTTTTTTCACGATTTTGGACCACATACAATACTATGACATTTTTTCATGATTTTGGACCACATACAATACTATGACATTTTTTCATGATTTTGGACCACATACTATACTATGACATTTTTTTTTTCATGATTTTGGACCACATACTATACTATGACTTTTTTTTTCATGATTTTGGACAACATACAATACTATGACATTTTTTCATGATTTTGGACCACATACTATACTATGACATTTTTTCATGGTTTTGGACGACATACTATGACTTTTTTTTCATGATTTTGGACGACATACTATATTATGACATTTTTTCATGATTTTGGACGACATACTATACTATGACTTTTTTTTTATGATTTTGGACCACATAATATACTATGACCTTTTTTTCATGATTTTGGGCCACATACAATACTATGACCTTTTTTCATGGTTTTGGACCACATACTATACTATGACTTTTGTTGTTGTTTTCGATGACATACCATTCTATGACTTTTTTGTTCTTACATTTTAATGCTACATTTTTACCAGCTACTCACACTTACGTGTTTGCAATTTGCTGAAGAGGCTAAAGTGCAGTGCATTGCATCCATAAGCAACTCCCATCAAAAGAAAACATATCTTAAAAGACAAATAATAATAATAAGACAGTATTGTTTATTTACCAGACACACTGATCATGTAAAAAGAAGTGAAGTAAATTGAATGAAATACATATAATCACAGTGCTGATACTAAACAAAGTGAACATAAATAAAGAGTTCCATCAATGGTATAGTACTGTATCTGTATACATAATGCAATGTAATAGCTTGATCAGAGCATTCAGATCTGACCACGTCATGGCATTTTAACACAGGAATCATACGTACAAGAGCTCAGCTTGAATCTACAGTCTCTATAGCCTTAAGAGCTAAAAATTAAACTTCAAATGTCCCTTTCAAAATCTCCCGTCCCTTCTTTTATAGAGTATCAATCACATACATTCTTGCTTCTCGGTGACAGCAACGCAAAGCGATCAAATACACAAAACTGTCTTCAAATACTTTCCACAAAGAAAGTTCAGCCACTAACTTCAGCTTTAAAACCTGGTCTTGAGTTAGTACTTCTTACTGTAAAGTTTTCCAAACAAATACTCAGCAGTTTCACTTTTTTATACTTCACAGAAACAAATACTGCCACACACTTTACAGCTTCTTCAAATAGAGATGTGTCACTTATCTTTCCTTTTCTCAGAGTGTGTAGAGACTAATCTATTGCTGATCTATCGATTAGTCGATCAACAGAAAATTGATTGGCAACTAATATTTAAAGCACATATGCCCAAAATGTGCTAGTTCCAGCTTTTCAAATGTACATTTTTTCTGATTTTTTTAATAGTCAATTGAATATTTTGAAGTTATGGACCTGTTGGTTTGACAAAATAATATGTCAACTTCAATATGTCAACTTTTTTGACATGATATAAACCAAACTATCAATCAGTTAACCAAGAAAATCATCCACAGATGAACCTACAATGGAAAAGAACAGGCTTACATTAAGCTTTTATCATACAGGGTGTCTGATATCTTATGCCTTCAACTACTTCGTTATTGTTATGGTACAATGCAAACAATCAAACAGCTGCCAACAATCTCAGCATCCTAAAATTCATTTTCCACTCTGTTTGGAAAAAATCTTTAGGAGATATTGTGACTGTCTGGAGTCTTGATAATAAATAATCTCGGGCAAATTTCTGATACAATGCTGCTGATACACTAGAACTTCTACACAAGTATATTTCACAAATACTAACTCTGTCTTGCATACAACACAATCACTATTACAAACCCTCGCTATCAGCTAACATCATTTAAATACTAAAAGAAGCTTCGCTTTCTCTCTCTGTCTTTCCTCAGTGTGGATGCTGTCCCCTTGAGCAATCTGTGACCAAAACAAAATAAACTCTCGAGCCACATTAAAGGCTGACATACATAGATGTGTGAAAAGAAAGGATCTCTCTGCCTCAGCTTCGTTCTCGGCGATAATGAGCCTGCCACAGACGGCTGCAGCGGAGGCGGCCTCGGCCCTGGGCGTACTGTAAGGATATCTGTCACAGCAAAGATGCAGGGAGAAGGAGAGGAGTTTAATATGTTTGTATAGAGGGAGGACAGACAGCAAAAAGAACTCAGAGGAAGATCAGTTCTGGTGTGATTAGCAGGAGGAGGTGCTCAAGCTCACAGGCAGCGTAATTAACACCGGCCGTACTTATAAAACACAACAAAATAAATTTCTGCTGCAGTCTTTCCTCCTCACCAAACAGCTGAGAGGGTTTCAGTACATCTTTACCTGCTAAAACTATGTACAGTTCAACCATGGCTTTGCTTAGTTTTTGCTTCACGGGGTCTAACTCAGTGGTTCCCAACCTGTCAGAGCGGTGACTCATTAAAACCAGCTGTCACCAGTTCAAACGAGTACAATTTCCTTCTCAGATTGGATTTTAAAGAATTTCCAAAGAAAAATTCACAGGATTTCATAAGGAAAAAAAGCAGAGATTTGTAGCATGTTTCTTTTCTCTCTTGTTAAAAGCAAAACATGGACCACTGGGATGGTTCACTTTTTATTTTGCTCAGCTTGGCCTAAAGAAGACTGGAGACAGGGGGAAACAGGTAGCCTGGCTTGGTCCAAAGATTAAACAAATAATAATACAAATTCAGCCTGCCAGCACCCTGTTGAACTTCTGGCAATAGCTGCTTGACTTTGGCCGATCTATTGGAAGCAGAAAGAAGACAAGATGGAAGAGCTGATTATGTTGATGTCTCTATACGCAGACAAGCCTAGCAACCTATAAGGACAACCAGAAGAGAAACATTTCCACCAAAGATAGATGACTGGTAAGCTGTCCAACATTTATAAATCTTTGGTAATTTCAGTGATTTCTTTAGTCTTGTTACAGTATGCAACTACAAGCTAGCTTGCACTTCTACCAGTGATGGTCACCAATGTATCTGCCTTTCATCGCAGCCTTGGACTGAAGCCACAGCAGCCACTTTTAAAAACACTTTGCAGGGTGCCCAGTAGCTTAGTGAGTAGAGCAGGCGTCCCACTTACAAAGGCAGTGTCCTTGCCGCAGTGGCAATGTGTTCAATTCCAGCCTGCAGGCCTTCGCTGCATGTTATCCCCTCTCTCTGCCCCTTTCACACCCAGACTGTCATATATAATAAGCCAAATAAATAGTTTATAAAATAAACAATTTGCTTTTTGGGACTTTCTTGACTTCTCTTTCTTCGGTAGGTGGTTGTCAGGGCAGTCGTCAGGGTGGTTGTCAGGGCCGTGTGAAAGCAGCTTTAAACTCATGAATTAAATATGCTGTATTGCATTTGATTATTGTGTACAGGTGAAACTCTTTCTTGACTTCCTGTTGTTTTCACACAAAGTTTTTTGTACAGTTTAAACAAATCAATAGATAGCTTTAGAGGTGCTGGTAGGTGTATTTTTGAGTTTTGGATAGAGCCAGGCTCACTGTTTCCCCTTGTTTCCAGTCTTTATGCTAAGCTAAGCTAACAAGCTACTGGCTGTAGCTTCATATTCATTACACATACATGAGAGTGGTGGCGATCATCTCGTCTAACTCTCTGCAGGAAAGTGAATAACCTATTGACATGGCCACACGCAAGGATGGCGCTGAATATTTTAGACTGTGTGGACATTGAACTAATGACGAAGGAGAGAAAAGAAATCTGGACACTGTGGCTGGATCAGTTGTGAACCACTGCCTTAGATGATCTTGAAACTATGTGTGGGGGTCCAAACCTGCAGGCTGGGAACCACTGGACTGATAAAAGTCGTCATTTCTCATTGAACACTGTGTCAGTGGTTAGAACGGATCAAAGGCTCCTCTGTTGGTCGACCTTAGTTGCATCTGAAAGTGCAACTATTACATGATAAGGCACTGTTACTACTAGTGTCTACTATCATCAGAAGTCAGGTCGTCTCTCTCACACACATACTGGGACTCTGGCTGAGCGTCTCCTGGATACAAGACTCACCAAGCAATTTCATCTATTTCAGAGCACCGACGTCACACTACATCCTTGATTATATAAAAATGGAAGGACAGGCGTTGGTCTGGATCACTTTAGGAAAACAAAAGGTGCACGTAAGTAACAACAGTACTGAATGCAGCAATATCAGAATACAAGGTAGATTTTCACTTGCCTGGAAGGAGCCTTTAGGATATCTCAGCTAAAGATTTGCATGTCCTCCTCGTGCCTGGACATCATGTGTACTCACTGACTGACAGGTGTTAACTCTCATCATCACAAAGCTGCTTGTCGAGCCATCTCATGGTTTGCATAGGGCATGTAATGTGCACACAACAGAGAACTGACCGTATGTATGAAGTTTTATACACGTCCAGAAGTAATATCGTCTTTGCCAGACACTTGCAAGGAGTATATTTGAACTGGCATCTCACAATAAATGTCATTATGCAATTTTAAATAAAGAATAAAAGTAGTATTGACAATTAGAGCGACCCACAGGTGACCTGCAGGGATGTCATATGCTTGGAGAGTTTTGTTTTCCTCTGCAGTTCTTCCAGCAGCTTCTCCCCCTGCGTGTCTTTTCCATGCAGTGTTCAGGAGACAGAAAAGCTGCTGACTTTCCATTAAATCACCCCATCCGCCTCCTGCAGGAGCAAGTGTCAATCAAACAGCTCTGCAGCTACTGGTGAGGAGAGGAGGGAAGAGGAGGAGCTGCTGCAAAAACTCTTCTCTTCTGGTGGAATGTAGGGCGGCAGTCGGAGAATAACTGAGTCACCCGCACAGTAATCACAAGTTGATTATTAATGTTTCAGTTTCTGACTGGGCAGGATGTCGGGGGAGTGGCTACGATGAGAGCCGCCCCCTCATGCAGCTAATGGCCCTTGTCCTTGGCGATGGATGCTTCTGCATCAGTCTCGGGAGAAGCCAGGGGCGGGACCTTTGAAGCAGGAGGGAGCTCCTCTTTGGGGGAGGTGCTCTTTTCTGCTGAGACCGCAATGCTCGGCTTGGCATCATCAGGTGTGTGCTCATTAGGGATGAGTGGAGCCGTGGTTTTCTGTGGAGAGAGGAAAGGGAGAGACACTGGTGATAAACTGAGCTGCAGCGATAGGAGGTATAGGAGCGATAACATGCAAACAAGAGGGTCATTTGTGTCTGAACTGACTCACTGTTTCAGGATTTTAAACACACGTGTCTAGCAGAGCAGAACTCTTCTTTCCCCACCATATAAGAAATCAACAAAACAACAGAATGACATAAAACGGCTGCTGGATGTTGCTAAAAAAATATGATAATTATCTACAGCAGTATCTGTGATACGACACCAAACAGCAGCTGAGTGTTGGAGAGTCGTACTCAGGTAGAGTCTCTGCATCCCAACAGCAAAAGCACAGAGATCAAATTGGAACGTTTTATTTGAGGAGTAAAAATTACAAAAAGAAAAAATAGATTACTCTTCTCCTTGTTGAGTTCTGACTATAAATAGCTCCACAAAATATCAGTTTCACTGCCCAGGTTCTGGTGCTCCTGGAAGAGCAACAGCATTGTGGACACAGTGAAATACGACCAATGCTGGCCGAACACCAACCGACTTTTCAAGTAACTTCTCTGTCGCAGATAAATTTACAATGTCAGAATAAATTCATGAGAGTTTTACCACAGTTGTGGCACACTCTCCTGATCTCAATCATTTGGTGTAAGGTGGTCACAAAACTCAGTCTGAGCTGTTTTTTTTTTCTTTCATCTTGACGTTCCAGCGAATTCAAATATGTTCAATATTATCTTAAGTTTTTAGTCTTAGTTAAGTTAAGTTCAATGATGTGAACATTGTCAACAAACAATAGCTGCACTCTCTCCAGCTCAAAACAGGAAGCAGCAAACTGGGTTAACAGTAAACATGGAGGGGACTGCAGGGAGGCGCAAGAATGTGAAGTCTTGGCTCTCTTGTACTGTGGTAAAGGAGGAGAAACTGGTGGAGTTGTGGAGTGAACAAGAGTTGGTGTTCAATTCAGCATGTATCTGATCCACCAACCAGCATTTATTTAGTGAGAAATCTTCATTTTTTAAACAGTTCACCTCTCATTCCCACAGTCTGCTCCCACTAAAATAGAACAGCTAACCAACAGAGGCTGGGAGACTTTTTGTTTGTAAGCAAATACAGTTTATCTTTATCGATTGTACTGATGTCGACTGACAAGAATACTGTCGACATATGGTGCCTTTGATCTTGTGTTTCTAGAGTGATGCATTTTTGCAGACACTTTTCACAATATTTCATATTCCTTAGAAGGAACTTCACATAGTATTTTGGTCTAGTTTGGCGTAGAGCAGGATGGGAAATAAGCTCAAAAGGAATCTAGTTGTAGTCTTGCAAACAGTGACCCTGCAAGATTCCCAGTCTTTGCAAATTCTATAGCGTATAACTAAAACCTCACACTGTCTTGAGACGTGAGAGGGTACCAGACTTTAGTCTTTTAAAAGTCTTTTAGCGTATGGTAGGCATAAACTAACTTTCTTAAACAAATAATGACAGTTATTCAAGACTTTTAATTACAGTAAGGGGCATAAACTATCTTGTTACCACTCTTGGGTAAATCAACACAATCTTCCATAATCATTGTGATATGAAGTAGTTAAAAATATAGTTTCTACTGCGCAATACTCAATGAGATCAGGTCTTGCGGTACCTGTGTGGCAGTGAAACATAATAATGTGAACATGATCTACAGCAACATTGATGAGAGAAACCCCACCTCAATGACCTAGCTACAGGGTTCCCACTGATCCTAAAATTCATTAAACTAAAATAAGGCCTTGAATGGTAATAAAATGTCTTAAATCAATCTTTCTTAAGTTTTAAAAACATGGTAAGTAGGATTTTATAGGATTTTAGGAATTTAACAGCAGCTGTTTCCTAGTTTTGTTAATGCTGGGTCATGATTTTTTTTCTTCAATTTGGTGATTTTAAAACTGGTCTTAGATTTAATTCTGTGCTGTATACTATGCAGGATTTGTCGGTTATTGTTTGTAAACAATATCACCAGGGAAAATGAGGGTGACAGCCAACCACAGATCAATCAATCAATCAATTTTATTTATAAAGCCCAATATCACAAATCACAATTTGCCTCACAGGGCTTTACAGCATACAACATCCACTCTTGTTTGCTATATTTGCATCTTTTTCTGTGCTTTGTCTGACATTTTCGTAGTTTCCTCTCTGATGCCTGCTGCTTATGGTCTCACCACTGGTCATTACCTTTATCTAAAGCCTTGACCACACCTGAGCGCTTGAGCTGTAGGAACCCTGTCAATATTAGGAGAATATATAACAAATGAATCCATAGCCACAAAATGGCTCCACATCCATGTATCTCAAGATGGATCATCAATGTCACTTCGATAAAAAAGTGCTCTCCTCTCCCACACACACACACACACACACTTCCTTTCTTCTCTCCAACACTCTCTGTAATTGGTTTAGACTGTTTTATGTCTGCTCTGTATTCACTACTCTGTGCTTTGCAGCCTCGATCCACTTTAGAGCCAGAGAAGTGTGTGAGGGGGGAGGGTACTGTGTGTGTGTGTGTGTGTGTGTGTGTGTGTGTGTGTGTGTGTGTGCGTGCGCTCACTGTGGTTTGTGACACTGGGTTGCAACTGCTGGAGGAGGAGGGTGCAGCAGACGTAGCAGAAACAGTAGAGTCTTCCTGCATCACTCCTCTTCTGTCCAAGACGCTGGAGAGCGAGACAAAACAATCAGTCACAAACTGCGTCCTGCTCGTTACTCACCGGGACGAGATGTAGGAGAGGAGCAGATCTAACAGTCTAATCTATCACAGGCACTGATACAGAGCTCATTGATTACAGCAGGAAGACAGCAAAATCTTAATACAGACAACATGACAATAAATGAAACGATAAAGATGTGGGATTACCTCGGGTACGTCGGCCCGCAGAGCACCTCGCAGCAGTTTTTGATGATGTTCTTGTGGCTGTATGGGTTCTGCACTCTGTTCTTCCCCGACCAGGATCCTTTAATCTGTGGCAAAAACAAAATGTACACATCACTGGAGCAGCAAGCCTTCCCAGACCATTTCCCTGATTTTCCCTGTGCTTATACCTTATTCAAAAGCATGTCTCCTGTTTTTAGATGTTATTCCCACGGGCTCGGCTTTGACCTACTAAAAAGGATCTTGTCGGGATTTAATGATTCCTGGTTTAATGGGAACTCTGTGTGCCAACGGGTGCGAAAGAGCACCGCAAGATTACAACCACTTTAATAATTCATTGAAAAATCTGAGAATTCATGCAAAGGATTCTCCCAGTAATAAGGAGTCCTCCCACACTGTACTGTATGCATATGCATTATTCGGCAGCTAACAGGAGGCACATTTTAATTCGGTTTTCATCTTTTATTTAAGTAGCTGTAAGGGTGAAAAAAAAAATCACATTTTTCTACACTGACTGCATCATATACATGTTCTGTGATAGAGTCAAACCCAAAACAGGTTTTTACCTCTGCACAGTTAAATCAAATGGAAATGTATTAGATGTACTGTACATCATTTTATACCTATGTCCAAAAAATTCTGCCTGACATATTTAGTATCTTTGGAAATGTTGGGATCTCAGGTTACACACAGGTTGCTCCACCTTGTTGGTTGGAGGTGGTTGGGGCTGTATACAGCCTGAAAGGAATTACCTGCAGTCACGACTCGGGGGTGACTCTCACTTCTTCTGCATGTTCTTAGGATTAAAGAAAAAATAACGTAATCTACATTTTTATTTATAGTTAATATTCTCTTAAAAGACACTATAACAGAACATCAATCAAAAGACCTTTTTATACTACCCGTACAAGGTGGGAATATAATGCTGTTGTGCTGCCTCGTCATGCTATTTCGAAGGTACGATCAGGGAACAGGGGAACAGAGTGGTCTTGCTGTTAATACACCACGGGAGGTAGTAACAGCATCGTAACAGTGTCTGTATAAACAGGAAAGTCTGCGGGACGGGATCATGGACAGCATGGGTGTGATGTTTTGCCTATGTGTTATGCAGGCAACCCATCATGGGACATTTAAAAGTAGCTGTTAGCAGTTAGCAGCTAACTCAAAGAAAAAAAATAGTGGCCATTAATGTCTGCAAACTGTGAAAACAGCGAGGTCCCGGAGCTTCTTGCCCTCCAAGCAAAAGGTTAGATCAGTCGCCATATAACAGGGATGATATATGTTTATTATTGACATGCTAATGCCACTGTTATTGTTTAGAAGCGCTGCGAACATGTATGTTTTATGTCACACTAGAGGCAAATGCTGATGCGTTACATGTCACACTCGTCACACCTCTTGTGATTTCATGATGCCGCTGTGCAGTCTATAATCACACACTGGAGCAAGATGATGCTGCTGTCATTTGGTTTGTTGTTGTTTATGTAAGAAGGGCTAAAGATACTACAGTAAAGCACAAACGCCCATGTAGTAAAGCTGCAAATACAACTTTATTAATTTTTTGGAATACATCAATATTGGGGTAATTTTTGCATCCGTCAACAGAGCAACTGAAGACAGGTAAGAAAAGGTGGAGAAAGGGGGGATGACATGCAGCAAAGTAAAGCAAACTTGCTAAGGTTACTGCTAAGGATTCAGCCTTACGTACACGGGGCACACACTTCACCAGGAGAGCTACCAGGTCGCCCCCAACTTTTTTTCATAATCTCTATCAATGAAACTATTTGAGTAGCATAACTGCGTTTTTCATTTTAGTTTTTTGTTATACTCCCATTGAAAATGCAATAACAAATTATTATTTCATTTTTTGTTACTTCTTTATTCACAGTGATTTTACTAGGAGGAAGCCTGATCACATCTACACTGTAACATACATTCACATCTGGAAACTGCCCAGTACAACCAGAGTCTGACCCACTGGAGCAGATGGGGTTAAGGGTCTTGCTCATGGGTAGTCATCAGGGAGGGACAAGCGCTGCTTTTACACTTATTCCAGATTTATCCGGCCGGTCCAGGGATTGAACCGACACATAATTTCTTAATTCAAATGGGGATGCGTGATAATATTGGCAAGTCATCAGTATGATGGTCTTTAAAACTAAATATCTGCATTGTCCTCACAAGAACGTTTCTGCTAATATGACAGGCCCATAAGATGACACTTTAATTATGCAACACTAATTAGTCAAAATAAGTAAAATTTGTCCTGGTTCTGGCAACTGTCAGGACTGTCTCATTGAAAATGTTACGTAAAAATAAATATGGCATATTTTATGTGTCACCACAGATGAAGTAGTTTTCTTATGTCATCCCAGTGAACACCTTGAAAGGCAGGAGAGTCTTAATGTGTTCCGAAATAAGGTGGAGAAAAACGTGCATTTATCAGCAATCTGCAAAATTGAGTTGGAAATTACTGCCATAATAGATATCTGCAAAAATCCAACATCGTGCATCCGCAGATTTAAGTGTAACTTACTAAAAATTCAGGATACATTATGCTTTTTATTTGCCAAAAAACATGCAAAGGAAGAAAAAGCAGATTATTGATTGACATATATAACTGACCTCTAAACTAAGCTTGGCTGCACAGCACAAGTTTGTACCGACTGACCCTGCCGCAGGTCAAAGAAAACAGCTTTTTTTTTAGCTGCAGTAAATGTAGGTCAACAGTCTGCCCACGAGGTACTTCAGTACTGCATGACTTTGTGTACTATCTGTGTGTGTATGAATGTGTGTGAGTGTGAGTGTGTGTGCAGGAGACACAGTTGACAGAGCATGTGTCATCCGATGGGAGAGACCAGAGCAGCTACGACACTCAAGGTGCCTTCTCTTGTTCGCCCTTATTCCACCATTTCTATCTTCCTCTCCTCCTCTCCTCTTCTCCTCCTCCTCTTCTCCCTCTCCACCTCCCCCCACCTCTCTGCCACAGCAGTATTTCTGGCAGCATGCCCAGCCCCTGCAGGTATCGATGCTTCTATTATTAGGCCAAATCACAGATATCGAAGCGACCGGGCCGACGGCCACTGTTTCAACTCCTGGAGCAACATCACACTGTACTGTAGGTGCACATTGCAGAGCTTCATTACTGATTAAATGAAAAAAATGAGGCCAGCTTTCCCACAAGAAGGAAAAAAGGGAATTAAAAATTAATCATTACAACAAAGTATGAGTGCACTCTCTTGCTTTCAGCCATCTAGAACCTCCCACCATCACTGCTGCTGCTCTCAGCTTCCCGTCAGAGCCTCTGCAGTCAGATCTGGGCTAACAAAGCCCCCAATGAAGTATACACACTGTTAATGTTAGCATACAGAGACACAACATAAATTACTCCCTCTGTGGATTCATCCACCTGCACCACCACCACCACTCATCTTCTGCTTCACAGCAGCCTGAATCTGTGTGTGTGTGTGTGTCTCTGTCTGTGTGTGTGTGTGTGTGTGTGTGTGTGTGTGTGGTGACTCAACAACGACTCCATGGTAATGTGATCAAGCAATCAATACTTTTTTCCTCATTTAGCCTCACGAGCTTTTTCTAAATGTGACTGACAAGTTGAGAGTCATAAACCAGCTGCTCGGTTTTGTTCTTATTTCAGCTCACTTCTATCATTGGCTTTTATGAAGAATAGCAGCTCTTCATGTGCATATTTTTAGATCATTAGATGACGTCGGCTCCATAAGCAGAGAGGAGCGCTCACCAGCCAATTTGTCAAATGGTTCAGACTCTGAGAAGCATTGAAGTGTTCCTGTATCTGGCATTTGGTCACAGTGTGGCTGAACTGGATGGTAAATTTTGCAATACAGGCAGAGAGACTGGTCAGCCGCTTCATGTGGTCCAGTCTGCCTCATGTGAGAAAAAGGAACAAACCAATGTGACACACTGTATGTCTCTGTTTTAACTTGAGTTATAAATAGACTTTCTTGTTTTTTTTCTCACGCTCTGTTCTCTTTCAACACCTTCTGTATTTGCTTTACTGTAGTTTACAGTGTAATAGCTTTGTTTAACAAGCTACACTTTACCAGCCCTTCGTCCTTCAGTGCTGTACGAGGCCGAGCTGTTGTCAAGGAAACAGTTCTGGAGTCTTAGAAATTGTAGTGTTTACACCTCTGCGATGTATGTTTGTCTTTCCAGCCACGTGAAGCCAAGCTGCCTGATGACAACATTTACACACACAATCTTATAACTGTACTTCATCTTTATTATGTGTAATCAGCTAAATCTAATTTTAAAACAAATCTCTACCTTGAAGGTGCTATTTTTAACTACTTATGTGTTGATAGCTGTTTAGGAGCCAAGGGCTGACCTGATTGTAACGTAAGTTAAAAACTAAGACCTTCCCTGATTTTCGCAGTTGCCTAAAACAGCCTGTGGACTGACTCCTATGTAAAGGACTTGGGATGGCATTGCTGGGAAAAACCAAAGCATGTGACATTTGTATGTGTTTCCCAAGAGCCCTGCTTCTCTTCAGCTCCACTACAGCATTAATAGTGTGAACACCAGCTAACGTTAGCTGAGAAATGGATTCAGCTAACATAAACAAACCACTGGTGTAGGTACCAGATATGCACGGTCTGTCAGATTTATGATTTGGTGGTCTGTAGAGCAAGCGCACAACATCCATAGACTTTGCGTCATACAGGCATTCAGAATTTGTTACGGCATCTATCAGTGCAGGGCCCTGTGCAGATCTACCAAGCCAAGTATATCTGGTACCTTTATTGGCACCCAACACAACAAAGAGTACAAAACAATCCTAAGTAAACACAAAAAAGTTTTATCTAGTGAAGCCTGTCTGGCGAAACTAAAATGTGACCAATGTCAGGGGAAAGCTGGGGTCAACAGTCATCAGCATCAACATCAGCAGGGCATTCAGTTCATGGAGGGACCTTCTTTTGTTTTGGGGAATTAAAACCAGCCGGTGCATCAACACAAAACTGTACAATCATGTTCAGTCTCATGTATGTCACATCACTGTTTTGGCCGAAGCTGAGGATGCTCGCTCACACCTATGGGGCAGAGCAAGCGAGTCAGCAAAAGTAAAAAGATGTTGACTGCAGTTCACTTAATGTTCACTGGTATCATTAGTAACAGGGACTGTCTGAAAATTACACACAGCACCTTTAAATGCACGTCTAACTCTTTCTCTAAAATCTCAGTAAGGATCAGGGATGGTGGAGTATGACTATGACTCTAACATGGCGTTTGGTACATTTAATCTCTATAAACAGATTTTGCATATCTACACATGAATCTGTAGGCGACGGGACAGGATTTTGGTAAAGGAAGTGTTCTGGTTTTCGTCTGTAGTCCAAGCAGTATTGACAAATCATGTTTGAACGATGGTAACAGTACATTTGAAGAGGCGGAATTCTTTTCCCAAATTGCAATCTTAGAGCCCACCTGATATTGTCTGACAACAAGTTAGTTTTGTATTTGTTTTCTTTTTAATGTATCTACATTGATTTGCATCTATACGTTTATAGAGATTAGCCAAAATGAACAGCACATGGAAGAGGAAGTCTTGGCTCCAGTATCTGCTGGCTAAACTGGATCAACCCGAAATATTGGCCCTCTCCCCCAGAGACCTTACTGTCGTCAGATGGTAACCGATGAGTTCTGAGATTGTGGTACATTCACAAATGGTGCAACTTAGATTGTTTAGGTAGGTGAAATTAATGGTGGCAACTCAGATGATCACCAATCACCAGTGCCAAAAGTGCTTGAAGATTCGGGTCTCAGTTCTCCACTATTCAAATTTCTGTATTTCAAGAAAAAACGCAGAGCTGTCAAATATCAAAAAATGGTGCAAATGTAACCACGACGCGATTAAGTGCTTTGAGACAGATGTTGAAAAGGTGTAAAAGATCTGCCTCTCTTTAGCTACAAAGCAAAACCATTAGTTTGGTAAATTAAGTGATAAAGTGAATGTTATTTTTCTTCTGGTGTTTTTTTGGCTGGAAAAAAATGTTTGAGGTGCATTATCACCACCCTCTGGGCTTTAGTAGGATGTACCCTGATCTACACATGACCCAGGAAAACCAAGATGTTGCAATCAGATTTGTGGTCTGGCCAACAGAGGCACATGTATGTGTCTCAGTGTAAATGAAACCCAAAAAAAGAGTGTGACACATGCATCTGGACTTTACCCGACACTTGAAATGACGAATGTAAATGAGAGTGAGAACTCAGCATGGACCAAACTCATCATACTGAGTCCACTTGAAGTCTAAGACCAGGACAAATGCTGCCTGTTTGAGTGCATGGTTAAGAAAGTTCAGCATCTGGAATAAAGTACTACTGATAAACAATAACACTAAAGAAAACTAAACTAACCAAAGACTGAGTGAATACTGTTAGTCCGTGTGTTTATTAGTCATGGTTCATTTGCATAGAGACAATGTGAAACCTAAACAAACTAGATGCAAAGTACATCACTGTGCCTCACAGGATGATTCAGGAAACAAACTGCAGATGTGACAGCATTAGTCATGACAGCAAGATGCACTTACGTCCTCATTGGTGGTCTGGTTGAGAGAGATCAGATAGGTGTGGAAGCCCGTCAGTCCCACCACCGACCACAGGGTGAAGAAACACACCAACACCTCCAGCACAGTGGACTCGAGTTAAGAAAACAGCAACAGATGCTTTCTGCCTGACACGTGGTCACTGATTAAACAGCGGACAGCAGGTGACGGCAGAATGGCAGACAGTTATGCAACATGATTAAAGACAGTGACGGTCTGTAAAGGGAAACAAATTCTGTAAAACGTATTTAATAAAAAGGGGTCAAAGGTTATTACTCATTTTACTGTGCAAAAAAGGAGAAATATCCAGCTGGAATTTAGTTCAGTTCCATTAATAAAATCTCAAACTACTTTCACATGATCATGTGTTCATCCTCTCTGTTACTCTACAGTTGATTTACAATGATATTTGTGGCATTACTATTGCAAGCAGCTTCTCTTTCCATCTGGTGACCAGTGATTTTTCCGGCTGAAATGACTGTCACTAGCATATTTATCAACTGCAGAAAACTAGCTAGTTGGTCTCATTGACTTTTAAATGTTTCCAGCTGATTTGTTACACAAAAAAATTGTTAAAGGGATCTTAAAGGAACAGTGTTTAAGATTTAGAGGGATTTAGTGGCATCTGGTGGTGAAGATCACGAATTGCAACCAGCTGAAACTTCTCCTGTTTAGGATTCCTTAAGTGTTCATCATTCAGGAGGTTTTTACTAGTAGCCGAATTACCTGCAGAGGTCTCTTCCTCTCCCAAACAAATGGTCAACAATCCTCTGTAGAGGGGCTTCTATCTATGGTGGCTGACGTCAAAAACGCAAAGGACCCTATCTATAGCCAGTGTTGGGTATGTACAGTACAGGCCAAAAGTTTGGACACACCTTCTCATTAAATGCGTTTTCTTTATTTTCATGACTATTTACATTGTAGATTCTCACTGAAGGCATCAAAACTATGAATGAACACATGTGGAGTTATGTACTTAACAAAAAAAGGTGAAATAACTGAAAACATGTTTTATATTCTAGTTTCTTCAAAATAGCCACCCTTTGCTCTGATTACTGCTTTGCACACTCTTGGCATTCTCTCCATGAGCTTCAAGAGGTAGTCACCTGAAATGGTTTCCACTTCACAGGTGTGCCTTATCAGGGTTAATTAGTGGAATTTCTTGCTTTATCAATGGGATTGGGACCATCAGTTGTGTTGTGCAGAAGTCAGGTTAATACACAGCCGACAGCCCTATTGGACAACTGTTAAAATTCATATTATGGCAAGAACCAATCAGCTAACTAAAGAAAAACGAGTGGCCATCATTACTTTAAGAAATGAAGGTCAGTCAGTCCGGAAAATTGCAAAAACTTTAAATGTGTCCCCAAGTGGAGTCGCAAAAACCATCAAGCGCTACAACCAAACTGGCACACATGAGGACCGACCCAGGAAAGGAAGACCAAGAGTCACCTCTGCTTCTGAGGATAAGTTCATCCGAGTCACCAGCCTCAGAAATCGCAAGTTAACAGCAGCTCAGATCAGAGACCAGATGAATGCCACACAGAGTTCTAGCAGCAGACCCATCTCTAGAACAACTGTTAAGAGGAGACTGCGCCAATCAGGCCTTCATGGTCAAATAGCTGCTAGGAAACCACTGCTAAGGAGAGGCAACAAGCAGAAGAGATTTGTTTGGGCCAAGAAACACAAGGAATGGACATTAGACCAGTGGAAATCTGTGCTTTGGTCTGATGAGTCCAAATTTGAGATCTTTGGTTCCAACCGCCGTGTCTTTGTGAGACGCAGAAAAGGTGAACGGATGGATTCCACATGCCTGGTTCCCACTGTGAAGCATGGAGGAGGAGGTGTGATGGTGTGGGGGTGTTTTGCTGGTGACACTGTTGGGGATTTATTCAAAATTGAAGGCACACTGGACCAGCATGGCTACCACAGCATCCTGCAGCGACATGCCATCCCATCCGGTTTGCGTTTAGTTGGACGACCATTTATTTTTCAACAGGACAATGACCCCAAACACACCTCCAGGCTGTGTAAGGGCTATTTGACCAAGAAGGAGAGTGATGGAGTGCTGCGGCAGATGACCTGGCCTCCACAGTCACCGGACCTGAACCCAGTCGAGATGGTTTGGGGTGAGCTGGACCGCAGAGTGAAGGCAAAGGGGCCAACAAGTGCTAAACACCTCTGAGAACTCCTTCAAGACTGTTGGAAAACCATTTCAGGTGACTACCTCTTGAAGCTCATGGAGAGAATGCCAAGAGTGTGCAAAGCAGTAATCAGAGCAAAGGGTGGCTATTTTGAAGAAACTAGAATATAAAACATGTTTTCAGTTATTTCACCTTTTTTTGTTAAGTACATAACTCCACATGTGTTCATTCATAGTTTTGATGCCTTCAGTGAGAATCTACAATGTAAATAGTCATGAAAATAAAGAAAACGCATTGAATGAGAAGGTGTGTCCAAACTTTTGGCCTGTACTGTACATTTTGGGCTGCTGTAGAAACATGGCAGTGCAACATGTCAATCTCCATCGACGAGGACCTGCTCCCTATGCAGATATAAATGGCTCCTTCTAAGGTAATGAAAACACGACCACTAATTTTAATGTAATTATACACTAAAGAAACCATACTTATCATATTATATTCCATTTCTTCAAGTATATCCCCCTCATCCTACACACTGGGCCTTTAAATGTGCACTTGATTGCTATATACATGTAGTCGTGCTCAGTAACTGAAGCACAAAGGTCACTATTTAACAATCTGAGTGCAAGACTATAAAGAAACAGCACTGTTCTTTATAATTGCAGTGTAGTCAGTCCAAGTACTGTGAGTATAATAAGGAGAATTTTAAGATCAGACATTTATTTTGTTCTAACATAACACTGTCAGATTTTTAGTGTGTGTTTCTCTCCTTGCTACAAGAGAAAAAGCTTTAAGAATGAAGACTAATCAGTGTTTCAGGCATTTAAAATTAAAGCTTTGGTAACGTTGGATGGGGTTAATAAACTCCAAATCCAATAGGAGCAGGACGCTAATCAAACTGTACAGAGGACACTGGCAATACAAGTTATGTTTTTACATGACAAATAAATATATTGTTATCATTAGAGACAGATTTCAACCTGTCATCTGATTCCTCACCCCCCCAAATATGGTACAATGTGGCAAAAGTGAGGCTCAGTTTTAATGATACTGGTATCATTTAAAACTAGACAACCCATTCATTGATACACACATGTGATGCTATCTTGTCCAGAAGGGGCTAAATATGCTACCAAGTTAGGCTAAAATTTGGCGAGAGAAAAAGTGGTATTGCTTTCTTAGAAAATCGTGCATTTAAATATTTCTGCGTACCTGTCTCCCTAAACAGTCTCTGTATTGCAGAAAATAACTCATTATAAACACTGGATTTGGAAATGGTGATAGATTAAGAGTAAATGAATGTGTTCACTTGTGGTTTGATGTTATGATTTGATGCCTTGCAGTAATTTATTTCCATCAATTTTTAATTTTACTTTTCTCTAATAAGTCGCTGGAGGGTTTTTTCTCTCCATGTTTTGTTTTAAGGTAATAGATTGAATATAAATGTCACACTTTTATTAGAAAGACAGAAATTCTCTGTGTTTTGATATAACTGACTTTACTTTTTGTGCTTTATAATCACATTGAGTAAATGTATGTGAAACGGAGCATGGCCTGGATGGGTCTCTAACACCGGATTTGGAAATGGTTGTTAGAGACTCCATCTCTGTCACTACAAGGCTAATGGCCAAGAGCTTATTTGAAATTGCCTGTGACAGTGTTAGACCTAGAGGTGGGTGGTGATGGTGATGGAGTGGGTGTAGATGAGGGGCCCAATTTGGAAAATGCTGTCCCCCTGTCCATAAATTCTAATGGCTGGCCTGGAAAGGCTACAAAAGGACATGTTAGGAAATCCAAGCTTGACGGGCCTGCTGTGCCTGGTTTCTAAGCTATTACTGGGAGATCACTGTTCGGGGAGAGGTTTTGGAATACTTGAAAAGTCTCTATGACGTTTTTCATTTTCTATTCTAGGAAATCTGGCAACCATGGCCCCCACAGCAGCTGTTTTTGTGATATATACTGTGGTCAGAGCTTAAAAGGATATGTTCCAGGTGTTTCCTTCAAAGTGTTCAAAAAGCCATTATCCACTGAACCTGTGAACAGAGCAACATGGGGAGAGAAGTTAAAAAGAAAAGACTTTCTAAAAAAAATCCCGCTGCTTCCTTATTCATTTTTCCTGTACTGAAAAGACACAATTACTCCAGTATTAAGATAACAAGCCCAGAGCTAATTATCCTGACTAGAAACACATTGTTTCCTCGTCTCTCTGTCTTCCTGCTGTCTGCGTTGGGTAGAACAAGGAAGCAAGGGGATGAGGATGAAAGAGGGATCATGTCAAGCTGTCAGTTGCTGTTGCATGTCATGTCACAGTGTAGGAAAAGCCTGGTCTGAATCAGGTCATAGTTTCAGCACTTGCATTTACATGTAAAGCTGACTGAGCTTGTGTCGCAGGTCGTTCTTCCTGTTTTGTCACATTCCTTTAGCAATGCATGTACTACTCTCTGACATGTTGTACCTGTCTGTTCCCTCTGATCTGACAAATGACTGACAGGATACTCACGCATGACCACGTGGACGATGTTGAAGGTGAAGATATAAATGGTGAGCAGGGAGAGCGACAGGGTGAACATGTAGAAGTATCGGTAGTTCCTCTTGCCCACACAGTTGCCTACCCATGGACAGTGGTGATCAAAACGGTCTGTGAAGAAGAGAAAAAGGTCACCTTATAAAAATATGTAAATTACACCAGAGGCTACACTCACAACTTTTCATAGAAAGCAGATACTTCTGGGAGACAAACAAATGTTAAAAATACACCAGCTGCAGTCTTTTAGTCAAAGACGGCTTTGTGCATCAGCTTCTGTAAACCTGCAGTCTAAATATAGTGATCACTTCCTCGCTGCCTTTGCTCTCCTATAATTTGGAGGAGAACCAGATGAAAGCAGGGCAGGGTCAAATGGACAGCAGGGAGTGCAGCGGTGTGTCTGCTGCACTCCCTGGATGCTGTTTCACAACATTATACAGAAAACATCGAGAAAGAAACACAAGATGTGAAGCAGCTCGCAGATATAAGGATAAAATAAGTGGATCACTTTTATTATTTACAGAGTAGAGATGTTCCAATTTTAGTTTTAAAGGGACAGCTCACACCCAAATCACCTGTACCCTTGCTATTTATCAGTCTAGATTGTTTTAGTGTGACTTGCCAAGTATTGGGAATATCGGCCTTACAGATGTCTGCCTTCTCTCCAATATTGTGGAACTAGATGACACTCAGCTTGTGGTGCCACAAAATACATTTCAAAAACTCAATATCAATGTGTCTTTCCAGGAATCATGACCCACTTACTCAAGATAATCCACAAACCTTGTTTTGTGCAGTTTTATGTGGGAACTATTTTCATTCTACTGAACTACACCTGTCAATCATATCACTGTGCAGAAGGACGCATGCATCTACTGTTACTTACTCTCATCTAGCACCACTTAGCTAGCGAACATTACAGCTCAGCTGATGAGGACAGCATTAATGCTCACATCTTCCTCTGTCTGTCTATGAGTAGAGGCAGTCTTCCTTCTGTGTGGTGATACGGTTTGCTAGCATAGTTAGAAAGAAAATAGTTGAATACATGAAACTGCCCACAACAAGGTCTGTAGATTATCTTGAGTAACCAGGTCATGATTTCTGGAAAGAGACATTGCTGTTGAGTTTTTCAAATAGATTTTTTGGCCCTTTGAGCACCACAACCTGAGTGCCATCTAAGTCTATCACATTCAAGAGAAGGCAGACATGTTTACAGCTGTTATCTTCAACACTCTGCAACCAACATCATAACAATCTACACTGATAAAAAACACTACAGATGAGAGGAATTTGCTGATGATTAAAAAATTTGATGTGAAGTTACACTGTCCATTTAAGGAACCTTTTCATTCAGTCCTCCTTTCATTCAGACTGAAATACCTCAACAATTAATTAATTTATTGCCATGAAACATTTAGTCTCCAGAGGATGAAGCCTCACAGAGAACTCCTTGTGTCTATTGTGTTTTTAGACTGCATATAGAGCACAGCAGGACAGTAAACCTCTATGTTGTTCACTTAATATGGACATCAAAACTTTCAAATTAAAGCTGTGAAAACACTTTACAAGCTTGATAATCAAACAAAAGTGCCATTTTGTCCATTGAGAGTCGCTGATAATTCAGAGGTCTGGAGCCAGACCAGCACTTTACCCCCAAAGTTACTGTTTAAATTTAACTCTAATGTTCCTTATACAGAGCTAAAACAACTGCACAACTACTCCCAGACTATACTGTGCATCAGATATCTCATAATACATTAACCAGAGTAGACTCCAGGTACAAACAAATATAATTTGTGAAGCAGTTTTTTATTATGCTGCATATTTTCTGAGAGACTTTAACCGCTATAAATGATGTTGGGTTGAGGAAGAAAAGATATGACTGCAGTAAAAAAAGGGGACTGAGGCACGCTGCTGTGTCATGCTTAGACTATGTGTGTGTGTGTTTCTGTGTGTGTGTGTGTATACAGCAGGTGGACACAGATGAACCAGTGTTCAGAATGACTGAGCGCTTATTCCCTCACTGAGCCTCCACTGTCTCCTCTCATATCGCTACACTCCCTTCAGACGCATTCCTCAATCATCAGAAGCCAAATCACTGTTATTCTGCAGGGTTGAGAGATGCCATGGCTACACGCACGCACACACACACACACACACACACACACACACACAGACAGAGTTCAAACAGCCTTCATAATTCAAAGCACATTCCATAAAAACAGTCCCGTTGTCGGCTCGTCTGATTCAGTTTTCTCAATCTTTTGCACTCTGTCTGCTCAGCCCAACATTTATTTATAAAGCTATCGTTTCTATTTCTTTTCATTATGTGAAAAATGATTGCAGAGAGGTAATTAAGATCGATGCTTCAGTAATAATCATCACGTCAGGGAGCTATTTTTCCTCACAAAACATTACTCACCTTTCTATTTCTGAAAAACTGAAAAAAACTGATTTCAATGAGCTGTCTTCTCACTCTGTGAAGCCTCTGACAGCAGATCAGAGCACTTATCTTACCGACGCAGTTGTCACAGATGCTGCAGTGAGATGCTCGAGGTGGTCGGAAGATCTTGCAGGTGTAGCAGTACTTGAGCTTGACGATCTGGTTGTTGATCTGAACGTTGCGGATGCGAGGTGGAGGGCGCTGGCCTGCGGGGACGTTCCCATTGGCAGCCTCTGTGGAAAGGGAAAGCCACATTTATTAGCAGGTGTTAGCAATCTTGATCACACAATGAATTATGTTTAAAGGTGTTATCTAATCAGAATTCAACACAACTCCAAAACTGTGTCCTCAAAATCACAATTAAAACCTGTGACAGTGTTTTCACAAATAAGGAACATAAAAAGCTCCACAAAGGCACAGTTTCTTGTGGAGCTGCCCCCTGAAAGACAAAGATTGGAATCATCAGTCTGAGACCCCACAGTCGACTGAGATTCATCAAGTCGAGCAGTCGTTTTTTTGGTCAGTAAGTGTGAATTTAAAGGCAGCTGCAGACCCAGACCCAGGGTGAGTCTGAAGCCCCTTTCTGTAGACAGTACCCAGAGAAGCTGTATGTGAGAACGCAAATGTCTGAATCATTTGGATCGGACGTTAAATGGACTTCACCCTGCTAACTCCCTTGTACACAGTCTGTGTAATGTCCGATTGACCCCATGTGTGACTAGAGCAGGTAATTATCCAGAGGATTCAAAGTGAGTGAGTGGGCATGTTGTTGATGTTTCTATCACGCAGCTTCCGCAAAACCGGAAGAAAAAAAACATCAAGGCTGAAGAGGAAGGGTCATTTAAAGGAACACGGCAACAAAAATTTCAAACTGGAGAGATGACATGATTCAGGACCTTCTGCTGATAAAGGCCAAAGCTGAAATCATCCGAGAAATTCAAAGAACAGCAAGAGACACTGATGTTTATACCAAATTACAAACTGACTACGGGACTGCGGTGTAATTCATATCATGTCATCCTCCCTCCCCTCTTGTCTAAACCAAACAGAGTATTTCCAGTAGGTGAGAATGCCTCTGACACAGACAATCTCCTGCTGTGTAAAGGGAAACTCCAGACAATGTCCGCACCTAATTCTCTGGATATTCTTCCGGAGTTTAATGAGAAAACAACTTGAGTGAGAAGGAGGCAGCTGCCCAGAGGAAGAGGGGTTTTGCCCAGTCAGGCTCTGAGATAATGTTATCTTCTGCCTTCTGCTTAGATGTGGAGAGTTTACAGCTTGGAGCAACTTAGTACAATACAGTCTCGTGTGTACAGTGGCTTTTGTTTGATATCTAATGTTGGCAAAAGATGCTGTGGCACATTTCCAAACTGTTGTGAGTGTAATTCGCACGTATTAGCTCAGAGGGCTAACTTGGCTTATTTATTATATTATGTGAACGTCGCTGTCACCCTGATTGCCCTCCCAAACCGTGCTCAAACTCTATATGAAATAAAATAGGAAGAACTAATCGAATAATCGTATTAAACAGTCAAATCCGATCAACTAATATAAGTCTGAGTCGCGTACAGCCCTACTTTCTTGCACTGGGTTGCATTAGACTGTACACGTCTTAAACAGGCAGTGAGGAATGTGAGATTCAGCGACAAATACAACAAAAAAAGGATGCAACTCTTGACAGATGAACCTTGATGATGTCAGTGAGAACCATCGTTGGCTCGATACAGTATTGATGATGGTGCATCTCTGTGTAATCACAGCTGAGATGTTATTATTTATCAGCGACACCATAACACAGTGTTCCTAACACTGAAACATCTTTTAGGTGAGATGGTTTGTTTTTGCAGTCACCATCCAAATGAAATTTTCACACATTCACTTTTTCTTGGCAATTCAGATCTTTCTGATTATGTAGCACTGCAGGAGTCGAGAGGGTGGAGAGACTGGCTAACGACCAGAGGGCTGCTGGCTGGAGTCTCTCAGGAGAATAACTGTTATGGAGAAATCTACCATTAACATGCTGCATGGGGGAGACGTGAATGTGGAGTTAATGGGAAATAGCAAGCGTGCTCATTTGACTTGCTGGGAATAAATCAAGATAAGAAATGTGGTATTTGTGGAAATTATCTGGGAAGCATTCAGAGATGAACATAAACTATGCTGCATTTCTATCATTTGTATAAATTCTCTTCTTATGTAAAACAAAATAGTTTCTGCGTAAATAAATCAGTGAAACGAGCACCTTTACAAACCATCCATTATACACCAAGACATAAAGATTGTGAAATGTACTTTATCTAACGGAACAAACTGCTCTAAATTATGAATCTACTGAATGCAGGATTAGTGGCTTTCAGGATAAACCAGCGGAGAATAAATTAATGAGTCATCACTCACGGGGAATGATGCCACTCCCTCGGGCAGCACAGCTCTGTCTGCTAGTGGCATTATATATTCCAAGAGGATGCCTCTCCTCCTATTAGCATTCCCCCTTGGGACTTGCAGCTAACAGGCTGAAGGGACAGAGCATCAAGGCAGCGGCAGCTTCATCAACATGCCTACCTCAGCCTCACAATGAGATCCATACCTGCCTTCTCCACTGGCTGATATCTGTTGGCACACCCACACTCATAACAGCAAACAGCTACCTGAACACACTGAAAAACATACTGTATAAGAGCTACAAGTGTGGGATTGACATTGTTAAACTAAGTGATTCATTTAGGCTGCTTCAGTGCATTATCCTCACATGGTCATGCCCCTTTTAAGCATTTAAGTGATGAATGTCTTGCTATTTTGGGAGATTTGCTGAGATGTTTTAAGTGGAATGTAAAACATTTTGCCAAAAAAGGGAAGTTAACCACTGCCAGTAAAGACCCAGTGAGATGAAAAATGCATTCACCCAGTTTTAGTCCTGTGTCTCTGTGTTAAGTGATCATGTATCTCATGTTTTATGCCAAATATATATGTAAAAAAAAGCAGTATCAGGGGATTCTTGCATCAAAATTCCCGTGTTTCCATTTTCTATAAAACCAAATAAAAGAGTTTCAAATGTTGATGACTCACTCAGGGGCGTTTAATTCAATTCAGTTCAATTCAATAGAACTGTATTTATCCCTAAGGAAATTCTTGTGCCAGAGAATGCTTCAAATTACAGTAACACTAAGTACAGTAACCACAATTTCAACGATTCACAACCAGTCACAACCAGACAACTAGTAGGTTCCCCAGGTCAGGGTCACTCACTGGGCCCAGTTTTAGAAGTAATAAATATCTGGCAAAAAACACACAACATAAAAATGTTTTCTAGGAGCAAAAGCAAAAACCATTGCCTAATAGAGTAACAATAGGAGTAAGTAGAAAAGTTCATCCAATCAAATGAGACTTTGGTTGACTAGTTTGCCACACTGGTCATATAAAACCATACTTCAACACTTGTGAGTTGTAGTCAAGCCCCCAGGAACAGCGCTGGGCTTTGAAGCCAGTTGTGGACTTACAACTTCCGGGTCCATCAGGTGATGCCATTGGGGCTCCAAACCGCTTTTTCACTGACTTACACTATGAAAGAGACGTCTGTAAATCAGTGGATACAATTTTTTCATGTCACAACCCCTGCTAAAAGACCAGTTTCACTATCAGGATTTGATGAATTCAGTCTGACAACATTTCAAAAGTGTAGAGGAACTGCACAATTACATAATTTTTATCCCTATTCAAGTTAGTGGAGCTCTAAACCATAGTTAGCTGCTTGGTCCCTGTAAGTCTGTTGTGCGCTTGATCTATGGCTCCCACAGTGCAGAGAGTCCAGGTAATGTCATACTACTGAAATCAAGCTTTTTTTGGCTTTGTGTGCCTCCAACGCTGTACCCAGTTCTCTTCATACATCCATGGTTGCCACAACTAACTAACAGAGCAATGTGGAGAGAGACAGGAAGACATGTATGTTTGGATATCAGATGGCAAAACCTTTGTTCTCATTTCTAAATCAATGAGTCAACGGTCTTATTCATTTATCTTTGTCCTCCCCTTAAACTAACAGTGGAAGTGGGGGTGTGCAGAGCCAACAGTCCACCTACTGTAGCTCTCTAAACTCTAACCCCGCCTACTTTTTAGTGGTCTAATCAAATGCAAAGGATTTGATTTAAATCCCTCTTCTAACTGTACACTGTGCAAATATTTCAGTTCGCTGGTATATATGAAGGTAAAGACACTCTAACGTCTGTTTTACTGGGACTTTAAATTCCTGCACTCGCACACGAATTTGTCATAATAATTTGTCTCACTCTTCAGTGTTCAGTAGCCGCACCAAATTAAACATCTTTGAGATTTAGACTGTGGATCTGACAAATTTTTCATCATTTTCAGGCAATTAAAGGACTAAATGATTGGTGGAAAAAATAATCAACACATTTATCAATAATGAAAATAATCATTAGTTGCAGCTCTGTTCACATAAATAATTCCAATGAGATTTCCTCATATAAACTACACGCGGGAGGTGTCTAATCTCCAGCGGGGTCATCACGGCCACAGTTAGACCAGCGAGCCATTGTCATCCAGTGTGTGGTATGAGTCACATTCATGATGAGAGAAGTGCTGGCTGCCAGATAACCCATTCTCAGAGGACCGACTGCCTCAGCCTTGCTTTTACAGCCCTCCTCTGTCATGAGCCGAGACCAGTCTCCACCCATGCCTCTTGACCGGAGTGAGAGAGGACGAGTGATGGCTGAAGGACACTGTGAATCTTTAACAGAGACAAAGAGTGAACATTGAGCAGCCACAGAGGCAGTGAGGGAGGGAGGGAGCGGGGTAAGGATGCAGGGAGGGCTGCTGCAGAAATATTGCAGAATAAAAGCCGATTCCCCCAGATATAACGATAGTCTGGACAGCCCAGCCAGTGAGCATGAACAAAAAACCAAACACAAATGTACTGCTTCTAAAGACAACAGGAATTGCTTACAGAGGCTTTGTTGTCATTATGATACAGCGCATAGTTTGTTTTGGGTAATGAGACAACAGGATCCCTTGTAATGAATGTGTGTTAGAGCTCTACGTTCACAGATGAGCACACCCAACCTTGAGCAACATAAAGCATAACAAACATGAATAAACCAACAGGACTGGGGCTGTCTGCTCACTGCTTAACTAGCATATATACTGAAGTATTTATGCCTCCAAAATACTTTCACTTGAGCTGCTTCTATCAGACATGTAGTCCAGATCTGTGGCTGTCATTTTATACAAAAAGAACAGCCTCGATGATGATCATGGAGCAGCACACGTGCTGTAATAACCATTTGTCCTGTTGTTGACTTAACATTTGAATGGCTGCAGATAAGGGATTTGTGCCTGGAGGTATTATCAGTACTGATTGTGAAGAATAGCCATGCACACTTCAAGGTGAGGAGCTGGACTACGATTACACGAGAGGAGGTGAGACCACACGTTACTTCACACCTGACAACAATCTAGTATTATTACTGAAGGTGTATGAATAAGGATGCTGCTGGGCTTTTCTTCTATTAACAGCAATACATTTATATTATCATATACAAATGTTGTGCTACCATTCATTCTCCAGTTTCAAACAACCATTTTTTTTTCTAATTCAAATGAAAAATCCCAAAGTTTGTAAAGATACTAAATATTTGGATGTCTTTATAACTGTGAAATTGTAGACAAAGGATATAATGATTGGTATTTCAAAGGGTTGGTTCACCAAAGTCACACAAAATAACTAACCAATCAAGGCAGCGGTAGACCAGCAGCTCCAGGAGTCTGGTGGCTTTGAAGAGAGTGATATAATGGCATCAGTTCCTATCAGAAAGGGCTGTCTGACAGTCAGCAGTAAAGCTGTGAAAATACTCTTAAGAAAGCATTCACTTAAACTGGTATGTTTTTTTTAGGTTGCTAAAAAAGATTTGGCTGCTACCCCTGTCTACAGCGGTACATTGTTTTGATTTCGTGGCACTACTCCTGCCTGCTTCCCAAAACTGGGGGCGTGTCAACTGCCATCCACTGTAGGTAATACACTGACTATACTCTTTCACCCCACTTCAGAAGAGCCTAACAATTCCTTTAAAGGGATACTTCGCTGATTTTCAACCAGCTTTGTATCGTAAAAGAACTACAATAAATTTCCCTCTATCTTACCAGCGCCCAGACAGCTGCTTGAACTACAGAGTGCACTTCTGCATTTCCGTATGCCTGCCACCACTGACACATCATATAGAATCGAATCAAAAGAGAGACCCGCCCCTCACTCTTTCTGTCATGCTCAGATCAAACTGTAAAACTAAGCAGTGCTGATCAAACAAAAAACAAGATTCAGTTACTGTATTGCCTATTTCCTGCCTAAAATGTCTTCACAAACATATTTTAGTGCACTGTTTGGCTGTTGTATGAGAATTTGTGAAGAGTGGGTGCTACTCTGTTTCCTGTTTTGTAATAATGGAGGCTGAAAAAACTAAAATGAAATGGTAAAACTAAACAGCGCTGATAAAATATGAACCAATATTATGTTCCTGCATTGTCTGTTTCTCACCTTAAATGTTTTCAGTAACATATTTTCACTTAGTATTTAACTGTAATTCGAGATTTTTTTGTCACTACCCGGCTGCCATATTGTTTCCTGGGGAAAAGTTTTAGTTTTAGTAGTTGTAGGTTTCCTGCCTCTTGAGCAAAAGCGAATGCCACAGTAATTTTTCTCTCTTTGCTCAGGTCATGTGGAACCAATTTCAGAAGTATTTGTGTTTTTCTACTGCATAGACATTTCAGTTTTGTGAAAAGACCATCTTTTCAGCGTAATACTTCTGAATGACAGTAGGTTCTTAAAAGTATGCAGAAAAATAAAAACAAAAAATATTTCTAAAATTGTCTGTAAGGCTGAAACTCACCGATTTCCATCTCGATGAACGTGGCTTCTTCTGGAAGCGCCCGTGGCAGCACTCCAGGGTCACTGAAGCTGGTCCTCAGCAACATGGCGATGACGAAGAGGAAGAGCAGGGCGGCAAAAACTGGGATGGCAGGAGATAGATGGACAGCCAGGTATGGACATCTGTGGGGAAACAAAGAAAATAAAGATTCACTTTAAAAGCAGGTAAAGTTTCTCAGAAAGGTTACGAGAGGAAAACTTCTTATTTTCATTTAATTTTAATTGATTTACTGTTCAATTAGACATTTTATGGATTTTTTTTCTCTGGTTGCTGCTTCTTCAAACTGAGTATTTTTTTTAAATAGTAATTTTTTGTTTTATATCATTGTAGAAAAAAAAGAAGTTTTGGACTGTTTGTTGAACATTTGTCACCTTGATTTGGGGAAATGTGACAGATATTTTTCAAACATTTCTGACATTTTATAGACAAAATGAATAATGTCCAGATAAACTGACTTGTTAGTTGCAGCCCTAATTTCGACACCAATATTTACCAATTATTATATTTTTGGACCACAGCTACACATGACGACTGCAGACAACAACCAAACATAAGTGTGAGAGCCCTCTCAAAAACAGCATGTGCAGAGAGGGCACGACACGACAACGTACATATTCTGAACTGGTGTTCTGAGCAGGAGGTCATGAACCGCGAGAGTTGCCCTTTCTCTAGACCGTGCCGAAGTCACGGCCATGAATAAACAGTACGATGCCACGTTCCCCCTCACCTTCTGGAGGAAGAGTGGAGAAACATTAGCATAACTCCGTTTGCCAGGCCATTGAGATTAGAGCCAGCAGGGCTGCATGGTGAAGGCCTGCTGCTCAGAGCGATAACAGATGTGAGCTGCAGTGCACGGTGCTGCGACAGAACAGAGCAGCAGCAGCAGCAGCAGAGGCTTCTGCATGAAGTTATTAATAGTTAAACTGTGCGGCCTCATCTCCCTCCCAAGTGGCCGGGATCATATATTCATAATGCAACACTAATGTTGCTCTACAGGAGAGCAAGGTATTGTGCCATATCCTGAACAAGACCAGCGTTTGTACTGAATGTCATTCATAAGGCCTGCACACACAGATGTCACACACTCTGCTTCATTAAATGGAGGATGGAATTTTGGACCACTGAAACCCAACAACCTATATAAAACACTGTCGTCTGAAGAGACACACATCAGTTATTTTATCAGGCGACATTACATTTATATATTGTTCTATTTTAGTTGAAGTCAATTGCACTATTCAGTATAAAGTAGAGCTGAAACAATTCATTGATTAATCCATTAGTGGATGGACAACAAATAAATCTGCAGCCACTTTAAGAATCGATTGATTGTTTGAGTCATTTTCAAAGAACAAACCCCATAACTTCTTTGGTTCCAGCTAGGGCTGTTGTGATAACTGCAATATTGCAACACCGTGCTGTTTTTTTGTTTGTTTGTTTGTTTTTTTATATACTTTATCAATCCCCGAGGGGAAATTCAATTTTTTTCACTCTTGTTGTCAATTACACACAGGTCCAATATGTTGACAGCAAGGGGAACAAAGAGTGACTATGTTCATGGTTTTTTCTATTTGCTGCTACAAATACCAGCAGCGTGACAAGCCACTGAGGGCCGAATTCCCAAAAGGATTGCGTGGCTTTTGCGGCCGCTAAACCGGTAAAAATGGAGCAAACAGATACCATCTAATTCACAAAGCACGTGCAGAGGGTGAAATGCTCCACTAACTGCGCTGCCAAGCAGATTGCGTCTCGGTGCTCTGGTGTTATTTGCACGTATTTAAATGAGGTAATATGCATATATTTGGCGCAAAAATTGCCCCTTTCTATGCAAATGAGCCTCACTGATAAACAACGTCTAATTCACTAACACCAGCGCTAATAGCCACACGCAGTTTGAGTGAAGTAAATAACGTCTTTAGAAAGCTGGTGCAAACTGGGCGCTCCACTGTGGAAGCCTCTCGCCCAGACTTTCCAGTGATCGTGGCAGCAGTGATCAGTCTGTAAATAATATGTTGACATTATTATTATAATCATTATTACTTTAATGGCATCCGAAGATACTGATGCATTGAACAGGTGACAGTCTGCAGTCGTTGTCAAAACGCACTTCTGTCACGCACTTCAAAAGCAACTTTCAATAATTTATTTTACGAAATGGGGGAAACAAACGTGAACAAAAACGCTTCCATAATTCATATTACATTCAAAAGATAACGAAAAAACAGCTACAAGTGAGAGGGAATAGTGATAAAGTGGTCAAACTTGGTCAAATCCACAGCCTCAACCCATCCGACACTGTTAGACTGACTCACCAGCAGACATCACTACATGAGGGTATACAGTATTCAGTACTTTGCCAAACACTTATCATGCCATGCCATGTGGCTAATTGCAATCAGGGGCAAATCAGGGGCAAACTGCACTCAGCTGCCAAACTTTGTTGGCGTGTTTGCGCAATATTGTTTGTGAACAGGACATTAAGATGGAGCAAACTGCGGTGCAAGTGAAGTGCAATTCAAGGTGCTATCAGCGGCCGCAGTTCATTCTTTGTGAATTAGGCCCTGAGAGTCTATTCTACGCTATGCGCTGCACCTATGCTGTTTTTTTTTGGTCGCCAAAAATTGAAAAACAACGCTGCAGCCACTCGTCACTGTCACTTTTTACCCAGCCGTCCAATCACATTGGAAGAGGGGCAGGACAAAAACCACAAAGACCAACCGTCACAACTGAGAAGAAATGAATACTAAACCCACACACACCAGCAGGTCCGTGCTTTCTCCCTATGTGCTTCAGCCATCCCTTCATCCAGGACAGATAATCTGCTCAGCATCCCCCTCCTAATCAGATCCGTCCCCTCCATTGGCTCTTATTAGTCCAGGCTCAAAACCTACTTTTATTAATTAGCGTTTGAGTCCCCCTGATGTGGCTTTCTGTGATGCGTGCTTGTGTGTGTGTCTCTGAATGTATGAGCTGTGTACCTGACAGTTATGTTGTCTCTTGTGTATGTGTTTTTAGCATCTGATTCCTTTTGTATAGCACTTTGGTCAACGTGAGTTGTTTTTAAATGTCCTTTATAAACAAATTTGAGTTTGAATTTGAGTACCTTGTGCCAACACTTTCACTTCCGCGAATATTCTGTTTCATAGCAACCAGACACAACCAAAACATCTCTGCTGAAAAAACGCTACACCCTTTATTGGGCCTCATTGTCTGTCTGTCTTCTGCATTTAACAATGAACAAATATTTAGTTTGTTTTAAAAATGTGTCATTTAAAAAGCACCAATACAATAGCCAAACAATAAAGCTTATTTGCAAAGCACTAAAATCAGGATAAATTACATAATTTGCAAAAACAATAGCAAATGGTAATACTGCATATCGCACTGTTGAGCCACCCTTAATCACCACATGGGAAAATTCTTCACCATGACAGCTCCAGTTATTGCTGCTTTCCTTTGTCTTAAATGATAATAAACTGAATATCCTTTGGTTTTGGACAAAACAAGATTTATAGAGACATTACTCACTTATTCCTGATTTTAAAGATTTAATGATTATTTATGACTCGAGAAAATAAGCAGAAGATCAAGTGATATTAAAAACATAATAATCATGAAGGGCAGATGAGAAATTTGGATTAAAAACCTGTTTTTCCACACAAAATGACAGGTTGCATTTGTGCTGAATATAATATCCCACATGGACAGCAGCCATTTATCTGTATCACGTATCAGCCAAAACACTGCAGATACAGTTACATAAATGAGTTTGGCCTACAAAGTATTTTGGGTGCTTGAAAGCAGCACTGATGCGTGAGGATGTTTTTAGTACAGTGTGATTGTTTCTGGTTTTGTTAGGATTTGTTTGATCACTATTTTCTAATTAAAAACAAGTGTGTTGGAGTGCAGAGCCAACACAACAAAAAAGGTGTAAAAGGTGTATCTGTTCAAACAGTGGAGGACTGCACTGTATATCTGACATCCCATAATAAGAGCTGAGACAGCTGATTGATAAAGTGGGTTCCACCATCCAAATGGGGTTTGCTACTGCCTCCTGTTTTCAGTCATTGTAAATTGAACGTCTTTGAGTTCTGGACATTGACAATCAATATCGTCCTTCTTCTCTGGGTGGCATTTCTTTCATTCTCACCACACACACAGACACACACACAGACACAGACGCAGACACACACACAGACACACACACACACACACATACACACACACACACACAGCTAAAAAGGAAAGAGATGTAGCTGAGTAAACAACAGCCAGTCAGCACAACACGGCAGAGAACAAAGTCCACCTGTTTAGTCGCACCTGTTCATGTAGACACACCATGCAGGTACGTCAGCATACCTGTGCACTGATGAAACAACAACACACACACAGCACTGGCTGAACTGGTCTGAGCAGTTTCCCTGCAGTGTCTTTTTTCACACTAATGGAAACTCGGAGCAGAGATCAAATCAATAGAAATTTCCACTGGACCAGGCCTGTGAAGAATGTTTGGCCCATTTGTTAGAGCCGAGAGGCAGCCAGTGAGATTCAGACTGAGGAGAGGCAGTCTGTCGATGAAGTGTAATTCCCGTAATGATGACTGGTAGGTATTGGAGGCCCACTCAATCATTGCTTCCCATCAGGCTCTCCACGTCCTTCCTGGATGTGACCGTTTCCTCTGCTGCTGTTGAGAAGCAGGGTGGTGCTGGCACAGTGACGCTGCGTGTTCATCCGTCACCGCCACAAAGGCAGCAGAAAAAAAAAACTGGACTTTATCAGATCCTGTGTCCATGTGAGGGAAACATTTTCATCAGTGAGCCAATCAATCAGACCGCCAAGTGACACTCACATGCCTCTTCCACATTCCTTCTCTTTCTGTGTCTCCTTTGAGGCTAACAATAAAGTCCAGTGGTGTACAGCACTCAAGTACCCCAGCGAGCTACAACATGAAAATGCCACTTCTATGTTCAAGCAGAAATTCACCTGAGTCTGTTGGGGAGAACTACAGCTGTGTGGCTCCAGAGGGAGCTGTGTTAAGTCTGATAAATTGCTTCGAGTGATGTTACATGAGTCAGCGTCAGTTGGGGCTGAAGACTACAAGTTTTAAGATGAAAAAAATCTG